GCGCACATAGCGCATAGCCTGTGTACATCATTTTAAGCACAGCAATAGAGGCTCCATGTCCATTCCAGGTCATAGCTTTCAGAGCCCTGAGTCGACGTTTACATGTTCTAATGTTGATTGAGTTCCTATTTCTTCTCCTTGTTAGAGCCGACAGTGACGCCAAGGTACCGATAGTGGTCAACCCATTTAAATGTTTCACCATTAATTTGTAGATCTTCATTTTCTCCCCGCTTGTGATGGGAGTATGCTTCTGTCTTGTTTGTGGAGAGAGTTAAACCGAGTTTAACACATTTCCTTCCAAGGAGTGCATTGGACTGTTTAAATTTTCCCAAGGTGGGAACTTGTATTAGGACATCATCTGCATATCCCACTTGCAGAAGCCGGTATATCATGCAGGAGGATGTACACCATGCAGAAACCGGTAAACTATGCAGAAGCCGGTACATCATGCAGGAGCCGGTACACCTTGTAGAAGCCGGTACACCAAACAGGAACCGGTATACTGTTTAGTAGCAATTGTTTGTGAATTCTTAACTGTAGCCGTCTGAAAAGTTTGAGAAGCAGAGGTGCAACAGGTACTCTGAGAGAGAACTCTGTCAACATCAGAGGCCCGAGACTGTTCAACACGCTTCCACTACACATAAGGGGCATAACTGGCCGACCCCTCACAGTGTTCAAAAGAGAACTAAGTAAGCACCTCCAAAGGATACCTGATCAATCAGGCTGTGATTCATACGTTAGGCTGCGAGCAGCCGCGTCCAACAGCCTGGTTGACCAGTCCAGCAACCAGGAGGCTTGATCGAGGACCGGGCCTTGGGAACGTTGAGCCCCAAAATCATCGCAAGGTAAACGCAAGGTAGCCTCTGTTCACTCAGTAGTGAACCTGGTTGTTAAACAATTTGTCGGGTCGTATTCCAGGGAAATATAGGATTAAAGACCTGCCCGAAACGCTATGTGTGCTAGTGGCTTTACAAGAATGTAAGAACTTTTGTATATATAAATTATGAAAAAACACACACAAGTTAGTGAAGACTGGATTATAGTAAGGAATCTGGCAGAGCCACACTACTCCACTAATCTGCTGCCTCAGCCAGGTGTACACTCCACACTGTCAGGTGGGCTGAGCCACACTACTCCACTAATCTGCTGCCTCAGCCAGGTGTACACTCCACACTGTCAGGTGGGCTGAGCCACACTACTCCACTAATCTGCTGCCTCAGCCAGGTGTACACTCCACACTGTCAGGTGGGCTGAGCCACACTACTCTACTACTCTGCTGCCTCAGCCAGGTGTGCACTCCACACTGTCAGGTGGGCTGAGCCACACTACTCTACTACTCTGCTGCCTCAGCCAGGTGTACACTCCACACTGTCAGGTGGGCTGAGCCACACTACTCTACTACTCTGCTGCCTCAGCCAGTTGTGCACTCCACACTGTCAGGTGGGCTGAGCCACACTACTCCACGACACTGCTGCCTCAGCCAGGTGTGCACTCCACACTGTCAGGTGGGCTGAGCCACACTACTCTACGACACTGCTGCCTCAGCCAGGTGTGCACTCCACACTGTCAGGTGGGCTGAGCCACACTACTCCACGACACTGCTGCCTCAGCCAGGTGTACACTCCACACTGTCAGGTGGGCTGAGCCACACTACTCCACGACACTGCTGCCTCAGCCAGGTGTACACTCCACACTGTCAGGTGGGCTGAGCCACACTACTCCACGACACTGCTGCCTCAGCCAGGTGTGCACTACACACTGTCAGGTGGGCTGAGCCACACTACTCCACGACACTGCTGCCTCAGCCAGGTGTGCACTCCACACTGTCAGGTGGGCTGAGCCACACTACTCCACGACACTGCTGCCTCAGCCAGGTGTACACTCCACACTGTCAGGTGGGCTGAGCCACACTACTCCACGACACTGCTGCCTCAGCCAGGTGTACACTCCACACTGTCAGGTGGGCTGAGCCACACTACTCCACGACACTGCTGCCTCAGCCAGGTGTACACTCCACACTGTCAGGTGGGCTGAGCCACACTACTCCACGACACTGCTGCCTCAGCCAGGTGTACACTCCACACTGTCAGGTGGGCTGAGCCACACTACTCCACGACACTGCTGCCTCAGCCAGGTGTACACTCCACACTGTCAGGTGGGCTGAGCCACACTACTCCACGACACTGCTGCCTCAGCCAGGTGTACACTCCACACTGTCAGGTGGGCTGAGCCACACTACTCCACGACACTGCTGCCTCAGCCAGGTGTGCACTACACACTGTCAGGTGGGCTGAGCCACACTACTCCACGACACTGCTGCCTCAGCCAGGTGTACACTCCACACTGTCAGGTGGGCTGAGCCACACTACTCCACGACACTGCTGCCTCAGCCAGGTGTACACTCCACACTGTCAGGTGGGCTGAGCCACACTACTCCACGACACTGCTGCCTCAGCCAGGTGTGCACTCCACACTGTCAGGTGGGCTGAGCCACACTACTCCACGACACTGCTGCCTCAGCCAGGTGTACACTCCACACTGTCAGGTGGGCTGAGCCACACTACTCCACGACACTGCTGCCTCAGCCAGGTGTACACTCCACACTGTCAGGTGGGCTGAGCCACACTACTCCACGACACTGCTGCCTCAGCCAGGTGTACACTCCACACTGTCAGGTGGGCTGAGCCACACTACTCCACGACACTGCTGCCTCAGCCAGGTGTGCACTCCACACTGTCAGGTGGGCTGAGCCACACTACTCCACGACACTGCTGCCTCAGCCAGGTGTACACTCCACACTGTCAGGTGGGCTGAGCCACACTACTCCACGACACTGCTGCCTCAGCCAGGTGTGCACTCCACACTGTCAGGTGGGCTGAGCCACACTGCTGCCTCAGCCAGGTGTGCACTCCACACTGTCAGGTGGGCTGAGCCACACTACTCCACGACACTGCTGCCTCAGCCAGGTGTGCACTCCACACTGTCAGGTGGGCTGAGCCACACTGCTGCCTCAGCCAGGTGTACACTCCACACTGTCAGGTGGGCTGAGCCACACTGCTGCCTCAGCCAGGTGTACACTCCACACTGTCAGGTGGGCTGAGCCACACTACTCCACGACACTGCTGCCTCAGCCAGGTGTACACTCCACACTGTCAGGTGGGCTGAGCCACACTACTCCACGACACTGCTGCCTCAGCCAGGTGTGCACTCCACACTGTCAGGTGGGCTAAGCCACACTACTCCACGACACTGCTGCCTCAGCCAGGTGTACACTCCACACTGTCAGGTGGGCTGAGCCACACTACTCCACGACACTGCTGCCTCAGCCAGGTGTGTGCACTCCACACTGTCAGGTGGGCTGAGCCACACTACTCCACGACACTGCTGCCTCAGCCAGGTGTGCACTCCACACTGTCAGGTGGGCTGAGCCACACTACTCCACGACACTGCTGCCTCAGCCAGGTGTGTGCACTCCACACTGTCAGGTGGGCTGAGCCACACTACTCCACGACACTGCTGCCTCGGCCAGGTGTGTGCACTCCACACTGTCAGGTGGGCTGAGCCACACTACTCCACGACACTGCTGCCTCAGCCAGGTGTACACTCCACACTGTCAGGTGGGCTGAGCCACACTACTCCACGACACTGCTGCCTCAGCCAGGTGTACACTCCACACTGTCAGGTGGGCTGAGCCACACTACTCCACGACACTGCTGCCTCAGCCAGGTGTACACTCCACACTGTCAGGTGGGCTGAGCCACACTACTCCACGACACTGCTGCCTCAGCCAGGTGTACACTCCACACTGTCAGGTGGGCTGAGCCACACTACTCCACGACACTGCTGCCTCAGCCAGGTGTGCACTCCACACTGTCAGGTGGGCTGAGCCACACTACTCCACGACACTGCTGCCTCAGCCAGGTGTACACTCCACACTGTCAGGTGGGCTGAGCCACACTACTCCACGACACTGCTGCCTCAGCCAGGTGTGCACTCCACACTGTCAGGTGGGCTGAGCCACAACCAATACCTCTCTGGAAAGTTTATTTTGTTCATTTGTAATATTATGAAATATTCAAATTCGTGACTGGTGAGAGGCGTGAGTGGTGGTCAAATGTAATGTCATGATCTTTTTCTCTGAAATTAATATATTGAGCTAAGAGGTACAAGTTTCCTGTGTCATGGTGAGGCTGGCAGGTGGGGGGGGGGTGATTGTGGCACCAAATGTGTCACACCACGTCACTCACTACACTCTCTCCCTCCTACAATCACACAGCTACACTGCTACAAGCTGCTACACTTGCAACCCCCCCTTCCTTACACACATCTCTCCTTCCTACATCTACCCAACAAGTACAGTCGTCCCCTGCACATCCTTCATCTATCCACTCAAGGGATATACTTTTCCCCACATATCCTTCCTATACCTGCCCAATTAATATACGTTCCCTACATCCTAAACCCAGCCAATGGATGTTCTCAACACTTGTGCTCCCCGGCCCACAGAACAGCTCCCACCTCTCTATACGCTGCTCTCCTCAAGAAGTGGGAACACTGACCCTACCAGTTTGACTCAACTCACACTTGTTAGCTGGTGAAGGGTGGCACACTGACACTTGGTGGTGGCCGCACACTCGCACCACGAAGGGTGGGGCTCCCACCTACGTAATTGCCTTAATTGTTATCTCGAAGTGTTGGTGGCCTCTACGTCACACATGGCTGTCGAGAATTCCACTCCGACAAAATGTATAAATGCAGCTTCTCGTTCGAATCTGTCTGATAGATATATATATAGGAAGCTGTAAAGTAAACAAATAAAACTGTTTAAAAAGATGTTCAAAACCAAAACAGAAACACAAACAATCGGATCAAATATGACAATTATGCAAAACATTTGACACTTTGTCTGAAGAGCATTTGTGCTACACTGGCTTGGTGCCTTCTCTCGATAATGTGTCTCAAGACAGATCAACACTTGACCACTTTCTTCCCACTTGCAGCCTCGGTGCCGGCCTCCATCAGGGACCTGTACTCCCGGACCAGCCTCTCTACCTCGTCGTCGCCCTCTGCTGCCTCGCCCACCTCGCCGCTCGACCTCACCCGGTACTCCCTACCCTCCCTTCGGCAGTACGAGCTGGCCCAACAAATGGTCTCCCAGCAGGGAGCCGTCAGTAAGCTCCTTGGTGAGTAAATAGGCCACTGAGTCACCGCAGTAGTGGCAGGCCTGGTCAGTGTCTTCTTCTGTGTGTTATTATTTGTGTCTGCAGAATCGAGCTATTAGCTCTTCGACCTCGCCTTTCTAAACAATCTATTTTTCCTCTACTATATATAATATATATATTTCTCTCTTATACACACACACACACATCCCCAGGAAGCAACCCGTAGCAGCTGTCTAACTCCCAGGTACCTATTTACTGCTAGGTGAACAGGGGCATCAAGCCCACGCCCCTCTTCCTCACCATCAAGCCATGCTCTCTTCCTCACCATCAAGCCATGCTCTCTTCTTCACCATCAAGCCATGCTCTCTTCCTCACCATCAAGCCATGCTCTCTTCCTCACCATCAAGCCACGCCCTCTTCCTCACCATCAAGCCACGCCCTCTTCCTCACCATCATGCCACGCTCTCTTCCTCACCATCAAACCACGCCCTCTTCCTCACCATCAAGCCACGCTCTCTTCCTCACCATCAAGCCACGCTCTCTTCCTCACCATCATGCCACGCTCTCTTCCTCACCATCAAGCCATGCTCTCTTCTTCACCATCAAGCCACGCCCTCTTCCTCACCATCAAGCCACGCCCTCTTCCTCACCATCATGCCACGCTCTCTTCCTCACCATCATGCCACGCTCTCTTCCTCACCATTATGCCACGCTCTCTTCCTCACCATCAAACCACGCCCTCTTCCTCACCATCAAACCACGCCCTCTTCCTCACCATCAAACCACGCCCTCTTCCTCACCATCAAACCACGCCCTCTTCCTCACCATCACGCCATGCCCTACACCTTTTCAACGGTATATATGACCATATGCGTGTTGCCTCCTCTTATGCCGTGCCTCTCTCCCTCTCTCCAACTTGTCACCGTTCTTCCTTCTTGCCAGGCTTCCTCATGCTCTTTTTATACGCCACCCGATCCCTCTCTCCTCTGCCCTCTCTAACCTTACCTCCCCTCTGCCCTCTCTAACCTTACCTCCCCTCTGCCCTCTCTAACCTTACCTCCCCTCTGCCCTCTCTAACCTTACCTCCCCTCTGCCCTCTCTAACCTTACCTCCCCTCTGCCCTCTCTAACCTTACCTCCCCTCTGCCCTCTCTAACCTTACCTCCCCTCTGCCCTCTCTAACCTTACCTCCCCTCTGCCCTCTCTTACCTTACCTCCCCTCTGCCCTCTCTAACCTTACCTCCCCTCTGCCCTCTCTAACCTTACCTCCTCTCTGCCCTCTCTAACCTTACCGCCCCTCTGCCCTCTCTAACCTTACCTCCCCTCTGCCCTCTCTAACCTTACCTCCCCTCTGCCCTCTCTAATCTTACCTCCCCTCTGCCCTCTCTTACCTTACCTCCCCTCTGCCCTCTCTAACCTTACCTCCCCTCTGCCCTCTCTAACCTTACCTCCCCTCTGCCCTCTCTAACCACGCCTCCTATACGCGCAGTATAAGCAGGATAACTTTCATGATTGTGAGCACAATGTAAACGGCGCGTGTCCCCGGCAGGGTCGCTGCGGCCTCCTGGCATGATCGGGGGCTCGAAGCCGAAGGTGGCGACGCCGCAGGTGGTGAACAAGATCGAGCAGTACAAGCGGGAGAACCCCACCATCTTCGCCTGGGAGATCAGGGAGAAGCTCATCTCCGAGAGCGTCTGTACCAACTCCACCGCCCCCTCCGTGTCCTCCATCAACAGGATCCTCAGGTGCGTGGCCTCCCTCCTTCGTTTCCGTGTCCTCCCTCATTCTTTTTCTCATTCCTGGTCTCCTTGCTCCGTGTCCCCTAACATCAACAAGATCCTCAGGTGAGTGCCTATCTCGGTGCCTATCCTTTTCCTCCTCCGTGGACTCTATCAGTGTCTATCCTCCTCCGTGGACTCTATCAGTGTCTATCCTCCTCCGTGGACTCTATCAGTGTCTATCCTCCTCCGTGGACTCCCTCACTCTACACTGAGTTTTGATTCAAGTCTTTGATAAAAAAGTTGACCAAACATTCTGAGGTTTTAGAGATATCATGTCCACTGCCCCGCTCTCCTCCACTTAATATTAATATTAATTAATAAAGGGAGAAGACTTGTTACAAACAAATCAACACTTGTTGCAAATACAAGTGTTCCACCACACTGAACACGACACCTGTGGCTGAGTGTTCAGTAACCACTACACCTGTGGCTGAGTGTTCAGTAACCACTACACCTGTGACTGAGTGTTCAGTAACCACTACACCTGTGACTGAGTGTTCAGTAACCACTACACCTGTGACTGAGTGTTCAGTAACCACTACACCTGTGACTAAGTGTTCAGTAACCACTACACCTGTGACTGAGTGTTCAGTAACCACTACACCTGTGACTGAGTGTTCAGTAACTACACCTGTGACTAAGTGTTCAGTAACCACTACACCTGTGACTGAGTGTTCAGTAACCACTACACCTGTGACTGAGTGTTCAGTAACCACTACACCTGTGACTGAGTGTTCAGTAACCACTACACCTGTGACTAAGTGTTCAGTAACCACTACACCTGTGACTGAGTGTTCAGTAACCACTACACCTGTGACTGAGTGTTCAGTAACTACACCTGTGACTAAGTGTTCAGTAACCACTACACCTGTGACTGAGTGTTCAGTAACTACACCTGTGACTAAGTGTTCAGTAACCACTACACCTGTGACTGAGTGTTCAGTAACCACTACACCTGTGACTGAGTGTTCAGTTACCACACCTGTGACTAAGCTACTGACAATGTTACTCCATTTTGTTTTTAGAGTGTTGGAGTCCACTAACCGCATTATTGTGTCGCCATACTCCCTGAAGCTCTGTACTACACAATAGTGTAGACTAAGATATATCTATGTCCGTGGAACGCAGAAAGAAAGGTATAGATGACGAGTAGCATTGCCAGCGCTTATCCACGGCCGTGGTAGGAGAGAAGGTATTATGAGGGGAAACGCCAAGCCTTTACGACTATATAGCACTGGGAAGGGGTAAGGATAAGGATGTGGGATGGGACGGGAGCATGGAATGGGACAAACTAAAGAATGAGTTGTTCACGTGCATCTTCTTTACTCAGGAACCGGGCAGCAGAGCGAGCGGCGGCAGACTTCGCGCGGGCTGCTGGCTACGGCCTCTACAACCCCTACGCCTTCCCTTGGGCCAACCCGGCGCTCCTCTCCCCCCTCGCCGCCTCCCTTCCCCTCCACGCCGCCGCCGCTGAACACGTCGCTCACAACGCCGCCGCCGCCGCTGCCGCCAAGGACTCCTCCGCCGCCTCCGGCAATCACTCCGACGGTGAAGGTGAGAGGGGATGTGAGGAGTAGGAGGTGCACCTACTGAGGGGTGAGGGGTCAGGTGGTGTGCGTACTGGAGGATGTGAGGGGCAGCTGTGTGAGGGGTGTGAGGGGCAGCTGTGTGAGGGGTGTGAGGGGCAGCTGTGTGAGGTGTGTGAGGGGCAGCTGTGTGAGGGGTGTGAGGGGCAGCTGTGTGGGGTGTGAGGGGCAGCTGTGTGAAGGGTGTGTGGGGCAGCTGTGTGAGGGGTGTGAGGGGCTGCTGTGTGAGGGGTGTGAGGGGCAGCTGTGTGAGGGGTGTGAGGGGCAGCTGTGTGAGGGGTGTGAGGGGCAGCTGTGTGAAGGGTGTGAGGGGCAGCTGTGTGAGGGGTGTGAGGGGCAGCTGTGTGAGGGGTGTGAGGGGCAGCTGTGTGAGGGGCAGCTGTGTGAGAGGTCTGAGGGGCAGCTGTGTGAGAGGTGTGAGGGGCAGCTGTGTGAGGGGTGTGAGGGGCAGCTGTGTGAGGGGTGTGAGGGGCAGCTGTGTGAGGGGTGTGAGGGGCAGCTGTGTGAGGGGTGTCAGGGGCAGCTGTGTGAGAGGTGTGAGGGGCAGCTGTGTGAAGGGTGTGAGGGGCAGCTGTGTGAGGGGTGTGAGGGGCAGCTGTGTGAGGGGTGTGAGGGGCAGCTGTGTGAGGGGTGTGAGGGGCAGCTGTGTGAGGGGTGTGAGGGGCAGCTGTGTGAGGGGTGTGAGGGGCAGCTGTGTGAGGGGTGTGAGGGGCAGCTGTGTGAGGGGTGTGAGGGGCAGCTGTGTGAGGGGTGTGAGGGGCAGCTGTGTGAGGGGTGTGAGGGGCAGCTGTGTGAAGGGTGTGAGGGGCAGCTGTGTGAGGGGTGTGAGGGGCAGCTGTGTGAGGGGTGTGAGGGGCAGCTGTGTGAGGGGTGTGAGGGGCAGCTGTGTGAGGGGTGTGAGGGGACGCGTGTGCTTCCAACCTCTCACTAACAAACAAAACAACAATCAACCAAAGAGACATATTCTTTTTTTAGAAATAAACATGTATAATATTTGTTTATTTTACGCATCTATATTTTACGCACAATAATGTTGGAAAAACATGATGGCAGGATAGAATTTGTTTGTTTTTAACGAATATTTGCGAAATGCTGATAGTATACATTTTTATCTTTGTTAAGATAAGTAGAGCTATGTGCTCACCTCTTACCATGTTTCCATTTGACTGAATATTAACTCATTCCTTATTATCTTTATTCTTATTAATATTATTACTAATATTATTTTTAATTTACTGTATCATAATTATTATTGTTTTAAGTGTTATTGCTGTAAATACTGATAAATTATTTTCATAATTGTGTTCAAAATAATAATGAACTTTGTCATTACTACTGACCATAACAATTTGTTCCTTCATAATGATGGTGATTATACTTAATGATAATGTTTATTATTAGTACGATAATTAATAAAATAATCGCCGGAAACGGCCAACAGCTGTTTGCCGCCTCATTGTCACATACCGTAGTAATAACAATAGAAATAATAATAATGATCATAATAATAATAATAATAATAATAATAATAATAATAATAATAATAATAATAATAATAATAATTAGGTCAGTTGGAGCAATGAGGTGACTCGAACCAGCGATCAAGAAATCTGTCCTCCTAAAGTTCCCAGCGTGAAGAAAACGGCCAGTTTAAAGTGTAATTTCCTAACCTATTTGACTCTAGAAGACCCAAAACAGAAAACGGGACAGTACGTCACTTTTGCCAGCCGCTTCCATTTTTCTAGTACAGCACGATAATTTTTGGCCTTAGTAAACGCATGAGCGAAACGCGACGTTCTTTGTAGGAGGACAGGTTGTATGAGGATATCTGCGCTCCATACCCCTGTGCCACCACATACTCTATGTCAATATATTGAGTCAATGTGATTTCTTTGTGTATTTGAAGCTGGAGCAGAGGGTTGATCAACTACTTTACCTACACCAGTGTGTTTCGGGGTTATGTGTAAAGCTTGGATTGGCTTCAACAGAAGCCTCCATACTTCCTTTGGATTCAGAGGAATCATAGGTTGTATAACATATACCATGCCCGTGTACTTGGGTAACCCAAGTACACGGGCACGGCTTGGTGTACCCTGGTCGCTGGTTCCAGTCACCTCATTGTTCCCATGGATGTTCTCTCGTTGATATGTCATGTTACAGGAACTTCTTTGTTAGCATCTTTGTGTAGAATAATAATAATAACGATAATAATAATAATAAGAATATTTATTAGTATTATAAATATACTTCTTTTGATTAGGTATCAAGGTATTAATTTTCCATTATTATCATATATATATATACATATTCTTATTAATATGAGTATTAATGTGTATTCAACGGAGAGAGCAAATATTCCGTGCTATCACTAAACACAAAATTTGTATTGAATATTAGCATGCTAGTAACACTTTGCATCACACATGTTAGATTACTCAAGAACTACTCTCCACTATGTTGGGTTACGTGTACCCTGTCTTATTTAAACCAACTGAAACAACTTGAAGACGATCTAGTGACACGCAACCTCAATGCAACGGACTCAATGTTGTATTGTTAGACTCTCCTTCACTGAAGATACGTTTCTGGTCTGTGTTATAAAGCCAGAAATGCATTACTCAACTCTTAGCTTGTGTATAACTCTCTTCCACAAGAATATATACTACCCAGCAAGTAATATCACAAGTGATCTCCAGAAAGATGTTCCCTTTGCACGAAAATAACAATTTCGACGCTTCTATCATCCTAAATAGTAAACTTGTTTTTGCAACAAATTGGCCGCAAAACAAATCAGTTTCGTTTTGATTGCCAAAACCAATTTAGTTTTATATTCAATTAATGGCAAATAATACAAAACGGAAGTCAATAAGTTTGATTCATGCGTAAATAGTGCCGGTGTTGCTTGTGACAGACACAGTACTATGCTAGCCTGCACAACACACTGACTTTTGAACACAAATAACACTAAATACATATTATTATTATTATAATAATTATTGTTTTTATTATTATTATTATTATTATTATTATTATTATTATTATTATTATTATTATTATTATTATTATTATTGATAAAATCAGTAGGAGGCATGAAGAGGATTCGAACCTATGCGCTGGGCACTCCCAGGCACGCTCTCGACCACTACACCACAACAATGCAGAAAGGCATTGCAATTGCACCCCATTGTCCTACTGATTTTATTATTGATACATCAGTGTGTACGAATGATACATCATTCGTACACACTGGGCCTTCATTCATCTGTTTCTAACAGCCATAATAAATCAACCATTCCCTCTGCCCCCTCACTTCTCCTTGACCGTGCAGGCTCTCCCTTGTACCCTCCTTGACCGTGCAGGCTCTCCCTTGTACCCTCCTTGACCGTGCAGGCTCTCCCTTGTACCCTCCTTGACCGTGCAGGCTCTCCCTTGTACCCTCCTTGACCGAGCAGGCTCTCCCTTGTACCTTCCTTGACCGTGCAGGCTCGCCCTTTTACCCTCCTTGACCGTGCAGGCTCGCCCTTGTACCTTCCTTGACCGTGCAGGCTCGCCCTTGTACCCTCCTTGACCGTGCAGGCTCGCCCTTGTACCTTCCTTGACCGTGCAGGCTCGCCCTTGTACCCTCCTTGACCGTGCAGGCTCGCCCTTGTACCCTCCTTGACCGTGCAGGCTCTCCCTTGTACCTTCCTTGACCGTGCAGGCTAGCCCTTGTACCCTCCTTGACCGTGCAGGCTCTCCCTTGTACCCTCCTTGACCGTGCAGGCTCGCCCTTGTACCCTCCTTGACCGTGCAGGCTCTCCCTTGTACCTTCCTTGACCGTGCAGGCTCTCCCTTGTACCTTCCTTGACCGTGCAGGCTCTCCCTTGTACCTTCCTTGACCGTGCAGGCTCTCCCTTGTACCCTCCTTGACCGTGCAGGCTCGCCCTTGTACCCTCCTTGACGCCTCCATAACCTTTGAAGGCTCGCGCTCGTAACCTCCTTGACGTCTTCTTGACCTTGCAGGCTCGCCCTTGTACCCTCCTTGACCGTGCAGGCTCGCCCTTTTACCCTCCTTGACCGTGCAGGCTCGCCCTTGTACCCTCCTTGACCGTGCAGGCTCGCCCTTGTACCCTCCTTGACGCCTCCATAACCTTTGAAGGCTCGCGCTCGTAACCTCCTTGACGTCTTCTTGACCGTGCAGGCTCGCCCTTGTACCCTCCTTGACCGTGCAGGCTCGCCCTTGTACCCTCCTTGACACCTCCATAACCATTGTAGGCTCGCTCTCGTAACCTCCTTGACGTCTTCTTGACCTTGCAGGCTCGCCCTCGTACAAGCACTCAGGCTCCCAGGCCTCCCTCTCCTCGTCTGAGCTGAGCTCTCCGTCCCAGTTGGCCAGTGAGGTCAGATTCAGACGCAACCGAACCACCTTCAGTTCAGACCAGCTGGAGGAGCTGGAGAAGGAGTTCGAGAAGACCCACTACCCAGATCTGCCCACCAGAGAGCGACTGGCGGAGAAGACACTACTGTCCGAGGCAAGGGTCCAGGTGGGTGTGGTGTGGGTCGCCAGGGGCTACTGGAGTGAAGGGAATTGTGTTCATTGGTTCAGAATTGAGTTCATTGGTTCAGAATTGAGTTCACTGGTTCAGGATTGTGTTCATTGGTTCAGATTGTGTTCACTGGTTTAGAATTGTGTTCACTGGTTTAGAATTGTGTTCACTGGTTTAGAATTGTTTTCACTGGTTTAGAATTGTGTTCATTGGTTCAGAATTGAGTTCATTGGTTCAGAATTGAGTTCACTGGTTCAGAATTGAGTTCACTGGTTCAGGATTGTGTTCACTGGTTTAGAATTGTGTTCACTGGTTTAGAATTGTGTTCACTGGTTTAGAATTGTGTTCACTGGTTTAGAATTGTATTCACTGGTTCAGAAGTGTGTTCACTGGTTCAGAAGTGTGTTCACAGGTCTGAATTGTGTTCACTGGTTCAGAATTGCGTTCACTAGTTCAAAATTGCGTTCACTGGTTCAGAATTGCGTTCACTAGTTTAAAATTGCGTTCACTGGTTTAGAATCGTGTTCTTTTGTTCAGATTGGGGTTATTGGTTCAGATTGGGTTCACTGGTAGAGAATTGTGTTCTCAGGTCTGAATTGTGTTCACTGGTTCAGAATTGTGTTCACTGGTTCAGAATTGGGGTCATATGTTCAGAATTGGGTTCATATGTTCAGAATTGTGTTCTCAGGTTCAGAATTGTGTTCACTGATTCAGGATTGTGTTCATTGGTTTGGATTAGGCTCACTGGTTTAAAATTGTGTTCACTGGTTACGAATTGGGTTCACTGGTTCAGAATTGTGTTCACTGGTTCAGAATTGGGCTTACCGGCTTAGAATTCTGTTCACTTGTTCAAAACTGGGTTCATATGTTCAGAATTGTGTTCACAGGTTCAAAATTGTGTTCACAGGTTCAAAATTGTGTTCACTGGTTCAAAATTGTGTTCACTGATTCAGACTGAGTTCATTGGTTCCAAATTGTGTTTCAGTTTCATAATTTTGCTCACTGGTTCAGATTGGGTTCACTGGTTCAGCAATTGGGTTCACTGGTTCAGATTGGGTTCACGGATTCAGATTGGGTTCACTGGTTCAGATTGAGTTCACTGGTTCAGATTGGGTTCACTGGTTCAGAATTATGTTCACTAGTTCAGAATTGTGTTCACAGGTTCAGACTTGTGTTCACTGGTTTAGAATTGTGTTCACATGTTCATAATTGTGTTCTCTGGTTCAGGATTGTGTTCACTGGTTCAGTTTGGGTTCACTGGCTTAGGGCTGTGTTCACTGGTTCAGAATTATGTTCACTGATTTAGAATTGTGTTCACAGGTTCAGAATTGTGTTCATTGGTTCAGAATTGTATTCACTGAATCAGGATTGTGTATACAGGTTCAAAATTGTTTTCACTGATTCAGAATTGTGTTCACTGGTTCAGAATTATCTTCAGTGATTCAGAATTGTGTTCACTGGTTCAGAATTCTGTTCACAGGTTCAGAATTGTGTTCAATGGTTCAGAATTGTGTCATTGTTGCACAAATATTATTCATTTCGGTGACCGATGTAAATGGGACATTTAATTTTAAATCTAATTGCTTTCATTGTAATTTATTAAGCAATGTGATTAATGAACTTCAAATAGTGTGGTAATGGTGTAAACTGTTTGTTTGTGAATGTAGGTAACTAATTAATGCCACCAGTAGTAACTCATGGGATATGGTTCACGATATGACAGGTAGGAAATATTATGATATGGCAGGTAGAGAACATTGCGATATGACAGGTAGAGAACATTATGATATGGCAGGTAGAGGACATTGCGATATGAGAGGTAGAGAACATTATGATATGGCAGGTAGAGAACATTGCGATATGACAGGTAGAGAACATTATGATATGGCAGGTAGAGAACATTGCGATATGACAGGTAGAGAACATTATGATATGGCAGGTAGAGAACATTATGATATGGCAGGTAGAGAACATTGCGATATGACAGGTAGAGAATATTATGATATGACAGGTAGAGAACATTGCGATATGACAGGTAGAGAACATTATGATATGGCAGGTAGAGAACATTGCGATATGACAGGTAGAGAACATTATGATATGACAGGTAGAGAACATTATGATATGGCAGGTAGAGAACATTGCGATATGACAGGTAGAGAACATTATGATATGGCAGGTAGAGAACATTGCGATATGACAGGTAGAGAACATTATGATATGGCAGGTAGAGAACATTGCGATATGACAGGTAGAGAACATTATGATATGGCAGGTAGAGAACATTGCGATATGACAGGTAGAGAATATTATGATATGACAGGTTAAACACAGAACACGATAACGGGTAGAAAATTATACAGAGCGAGGAGTACAGAATTGTATAGTATGGCAGCTACAGAAAAGTACAGAATGACAGGTGGCTAAAAGTACAATATGGCAGGTAGAGAACAATATTAAGTTAATAGAACAAAGTTCAACTATTTAATTGCTTAGTATGTCAATGTTTGTACTATGGTGCACATAGTTACAAAACACACTATCTAAACTGGAGGATGGGTTGTCATGGCAGGTAGAGAACAATACAGCCTGGCAGGTAGAGAACAATACAGCCTGGCAGGTAGAGAACAATACAGCCTGGCAGGTAGAGAACAATACAGCCTGGCAGGTAGAGAACAATACAGCCTGGCAGGTAGAGAACAATACAGCCTGGCAGGTAGAGAACAATACATCCTGGCAGGTAGAGAACAATACAGCCTGGCAGGTAGAGAACAATACAGCCTGGCAGGTAGAGAACAATACAGCCTGGCAGGTAGAGAACAATACATCCTGGCAGGTAGAGAACAATACAGCCTGGCAGGTAGAGAACAATACATCCTGGCAGGTAGAGAACAATACAGCCTGGCAGGTAGAGAACAATACATCCTGGCAGGTAGAGAACAATACAGCCTGGCAGGTAGAGAACAATACATCCTGGCAGGTAGAGAACAATACAGCCTGGCAGGTAGAGAACAATACATCATGGCAGGTAGAGAACAATACATCCTGGCAGGTAGAGAACAATACATCCTGGCAGGTAGAGAACAATACATCCTGGCAGGTAGAGAACAATACAGCCTGGCAGGTAGAGAACAATACATCATGACAGGTAGAGAACAATACAGCCTGGCAGGTAGAGAACAATACATCCTGGCAGGTAGAGAACAATACAGCCTGGCAGGTAGAGAACAATACAACCTGGCAGGTAGAGAACAATACAGCCTAGCAGGTAGAGAACAATACATCCCGGCAGGTAGAGAACAATACATCCTGACAGGTAGAGAACAATACATCCTGGCAGGTAGAGAACAATACAGCCTGGCAGGTAGAGAACAATACAGCCTGGCAGGTAGAGAACAATACATCCTGACAGGTAGAGAACAATACAGCCTGGCAGGTAGAGAACAATACATCCTGACAGGTAGAGAACAATACATCCTGGTAGGTAGAGAACAATACATCCTGGCAGGTAGAGAACAATACATCCTGGCAGGTAGAGAACAATACAGCCTGGCAGGTAGATAACAATACATCCTGGCAGGTAGAGAACAATACAGCCTGGCAGGTAGAGAACAATACATCCTGGCAGGTAGAGAACAATACATACTGGCAGGTAGAGAACAATACAGCCTGGCAGGTAGAGAACAATACATCCTGGCAGGTAGAGAACAATACATCCTGGCAGGTAGAGAACAATACATCATGACAGGTAGAGAACAATACAGCCTGGCAGGTAGAGAACAATACATCCTGGCAGGTAGAGAACAATACAGCCTGGCAGGTAGAGAACAATACATCCTGACAGGTAGAGAACAATACATCCTGGCAGGTAGAGAACAATACATCCTGGCAGGTAGAGAACAATACATCCTGGCAGGTAGAGAACAATACAGCCTGGCAGGTAGAGAACAATACAGCCTGGCAGGTAGAGAACAATACAGCCTGGCAGGTAGAGAACAATACATCCTGGCAGGTAGAGAACAATACATCCTGACAGGTAGAGAACAATACAGCCTGGCAGGTAGAGAACAATACAGCCTGGCAGGTAGAGAACAATACAGCCTGGCAGGTAGAGAACAATACAGCCTGGCAGGTAGAGAACAATACATCCTGGCAGGTAGAGAACAATACAGCCTGGCAGGTAGAGAACAATACATCCTGGCAGGTAGAGAACAATACAGCCTGGCAGGTAGAGAACAATACATCCTGACAGGTAGAGAACAATACATCCTGGCAGGTAGATAACAATACAGCCTGGCAGGTAGAGAACAATACAGCCTGGCAGGTAGAGAACAATACATCCTGGCAGGTAGAGAACAATACAGCCTGGCAGGTAGAGAACAATACAGCCTGGCAGGTAGAGAACAATATAGCATAAAAGAGAACTGTATATCATAACACATATAGAGTAGCAGCAAACACCAGTGCAGCATAACAGTTAAAGAACAATTCTTGAATGGCAGAACACTACGCCATAATTGGCAGAGAACAGTGTTCAATGGCAGAATAACACGAGTATAGGATGACAGGTTGATGACATTATGATATGACAGGTTGAGAACATTATGATGTGACAGGTTGAGAACATTATGATGTGACAGGTTGAGAACATTATGATGTGACAGGTTGAGAACATTATGATATGACAGGTTGAGAACATTATGATGTGACAGGTTGAGAACATTATGATATGACAGGTTGAGAACATTATGATGTGACAGGTTGAGAACATTATGATGTGACAGGTTGAGAACATTATGATATGACAGGTTGAGAACATTATGATGTGACAGGTTGAGAACATTATGATATGACAGGTTGAGAACATTATGATGTGACAGGTTGAGAACATTATGATATGACAGGTTGAGAACATTATAGTATGACAGGTTGAGAACATTATGATGTGACAGGTTGAGAACATTATGATGTGACAGGTTGAGAACATTATGATGTGACAGGTTGAGGACATTACCAAATGAGAGGAAGAGAACATGACAAGACAGGTAGAAAACTGTCTTGTCATGTTCTCTACCTCTCATTTGGTAATGTTCTCGGCCTGTCATATGAAAGGTAGAGAACATGACAAGACAGTTAGAGAATAGGTTGATGCTGACACATGGGGTGGGCGGAGTGGGTGGCGAGGCGGGCGGGTGTGCCGGCGAGTAACTCTTCCCTGGTCCCTGACAGGTGTGGTTTTCCAACAGACGGGCCAAGTGGAGACGACACCAGCAGCTGAGTGTCCTCCGTCCCTACTGCGACGACCCGCTCCCTCACTCTCCCAGGACGACCTCGCCCTACTCAGAAGCCGTTTCCAGCCCGGATATGGCGGGCTCTCCCTCCCCGCCTCCTCCAGCACCCTCCTCCTCCACCACTACTCTCCCTACCACAGCCTCCACCACCACCACCACCGCAGCAGCAGCAGCAACAGCAGCAGCAACAGCAGCAGCCTCCAACACAGCCGCAGGTACCACCCGTGGCGGGCCGCTGGAGGGGCGGTCGTCACCATACAGGGCTGCCTCGACCTCTCCAACACTCCTCCATCACCTGCCTTCTCCCCATCGCCAACATCCGCCTTCACCCGTATCTGCCGCCGCCCTCAACCTGTCCACCCACCACCACCACCACCACCAGCCCCACCCTCTCGCCCACTTCCACCCGAGCCCGCCCACAAGCTCCAGCAGGATGTCGAGCCGCCCACCTCCCCCGCCCTTACTGCCCGCCAGCCTGCTCTCACTCCCGCAGTACCCGGGCTTCTCCCTCGGGCGTGACCTAACTCTCACGCCCATAAACCTCTCTAACGCCCAAGCACACGCCCGGGAGATGATGGTCGCCCACGCCCGCTGCTTCCTCAAGTCTGCCAGCCAGGCGGGTGGCTTCAGCTGCGGCAGAGACGACGCAGACACTCATATTGATGTGGATCTCGTGCATAAGAAGGAGGAGGAGGAAGACGAAGAGAAAGATGAGGAAGAGGAAGAGGAGGATCCAAAGGAAGAATATGAAGAAGCGCAGGACCTCAGCGTGAAAAGGAGGAGGATAGATACCGAGGATGACAAGGAGGAACAGAAGGTGGAAGACAAGGAGGAGGAGGAGGCGAGCAAGGAAGAAAGTATGGAAGCTGCTTAGGACGCTTCCCATCTTAGCTGACACTTCAAGTGGACGGGAAGAAGAGTCCGTTCGGTAGGGTGGAGGAGCCAAGGGAGTGACTGAGTCAACCACTCTCTCTCCACTACAGTGTTCCCGAACATTCCACTTCATTACTGTCGGAATTTTATCAAATTGTTCAAGAAGACAAGGCCGTCCCGCCTCTTGCTCTCCTCTTCTGCGACTCATCATTGACCATCAGCTTATGATAACCATGCAAGAGCCGAGTTCATGCTGTAACTTGCACCTTTCCCACGCTAGACCAACTTGCAGCATTCCTAGTTCTTGCCACTTACTTCCAACTCAAGTCAAGTCACAAAACTTTAGAAATATGTCATAAAACAATTGACCCAGAGAAGCTTGTATTAGGCATAACATTTCAAGTCAGACAGCCAGGACATTAATGGCAAATGCTCACTAACTATAGAAAATTATCATTTCATAACCAAATGGTTTGATATTAATCATTTAGATAAAACTTACGTTTTATATATCATTCAAGGAACCACGTCCGAAGGATCCCTACCTGGGTGAAGATCAATCACAGTTGTCTGTCCTAGTGAATCTAGTGACTTCAGCAAGGGTGCTTATATTGCTTGTTACTCACCTTCGTGTCTTAAAAATGTCAACAGGAAACTTTAAAAGCAAGAACTGAATAGTTCGAAAATTAAGTATTTGGCTTTTGCGGATCTCACTAAGGATACCACTAGAGTTCAACAACTCACTAATCACTGACGTATGTGTCTGAAAAGAGACAATGAGTTACACATTTTGTCAAATCCGATAAGCTGGCCAGCAGTAGTGCTGATGCATCTCTTGATGTATTCGTATGCTCTCCAACGAATAATGTTTTCCTAATGCATAGTCAAGTTTACAATGTAACGGTGGCTGACCACATCGCAGGTCACCACGCGAGGACGATGGAAGCTTCCAATTTACAGGCAAGGAATTTTCCTTCTTATGTGCATAATTTAAACTGAAATACTAATGGATTTAGCTTCCTTGAAAACAAGTGGAATGAAGAGGGCCAGCTACTGAGGAAGTACCACAAGTACTGAGGAAACGCCACAAGTACTGAGGAAACGCCACAAGTACCGAGGAAGTGCCACAAGTACTGAGGAAACGCCACAAGTACCGAGGAAGTGCCACAAGTACTGAGGAAGTGCCACAAGTACTGAGGAAGTGCCACAAGTACCGAGGAAACGCCACAAGTACTGAGGAAGTACCACAAGTACTGAGGAAGTACCACAAGTACTGAGGAAACGCCACAAGTACTGAGGAAACGCCACAAGTACTGAGGAAGTACCACAAGTACTGAGGAAGTACCACAAGTACTGAGGAAACGCCACAAGTACTGAGGAAACGCCACAAGTACTGAGGAAGTACCACAAGTACTGAGGAAGTACCACAAGTACTGAGGAAGTGCCACAAGTACTGAGGAAACGCCACAAGTACTGAGGAAACGCCACAAGTACTGAGGAAGTACCACAAGTACTGAGGAAGTACCACAAGTACTGAGGAAGTGCCACAAGTACTGAGGAAACGCCACAAGTACTGAGGAAGTACCACAAGTACTGAGGAAGTACCACAAGTACTGAGGAAACGCCACAAGTACTGAGGAAACGCCACAAGTACTGAGGAAACGCCACAAGTACTGAGGAAGTACCACAAGTACTGAGGAAACGCCACAAGTACTGAGGAAGTGCCACAAGTACTGAGGAAGTACCACAAGTACTGAGGAAGTACCACAAGTACTGAGGAAACGCCACAAGTACTGAGGAAACGCCACAAGTACTGAGGAAGTACCACAAGTACTGAGGAAGTACCACAAGTACTGAGGAAGTGCCACAAGTACTGAGGAAGTACCACAAGTACTGAGGAAGTACCACAAGTACTGAGGAAACGCCACAAGTACTGAGGAAGTGCCACAAGTACTGAGGAAACGCCACAAGTACTGAGGAAGTACCACAAGTACTGAGGAAGTACCACAAGTACTGAGGAAGTACCACAAGTACTGAGGAAACGCCACAAGTACTGAGGAAGTGCCACAAGTACTGAGGAAGTGCCACAAGTACTGAGGAAACGCCACAAGTACTGAGGAAGTGCCACAAGCACCGAGGAAGTGCCATACGTCCTAAGAAAGTACCACGAGTACTGAGGTAGTGCCATACGTCCTAAGGCAGTCCCACAAGTTCGCTCGCAGTTTCTGAAGTTCGTGAAACAAGTTGGTGAAGGAAGGCCAAAGACGCCGCACAACACTGCTGATGATACATTCTATTAAGTTCAAGTTTGTATTATCGTTTTAGAAAAAGAAAAAACTAACAAAATAAAAATGCCTGATAAGTTTACTCTACAACACAGAATGAATTGATCTGAAAACAGCCCTTGAGCTTCAGTGAACGGACTACATTACCATCACTCTATCTACCTCCATATAGCATCACTTAAGTCAATTATAAAGCAAGTGTTTTAACACTTGAAAATTGAATTGAATTGAAAAGCAGAGGTGCAACAGGTACTCTGAGAGAGAACTCTATCAACATCAGAGGCCCGAGACTGTTCAACACGCTTCCACTACACATAAGGGGCATAACTGGCCGACCCCTCGCAGTGTTCAAGAGAGAACTCGATAAACACCTCCAAAGGATACCTGATCAACCAGGCTGTGACTCATACGTCAGGCTGCGAGCAGCCACGTCCAACAGCCTGGTAGACCACTCCAGCAACCAGGAGGCCTGGTCGACGACCGGGCCGAGGGGACGCTAAGCCCCGGAAGCACCTCATGGTAAACTCAAGGTAACATGAAGGTGGTAGAGTAGGCTCGCCCCCCCACACCACCCTGAGCTTCGCCCTTGCCCAGCACTACAACCAGGAGCACCGTGCAGATGCTCCCGTCCTCTCCTCTGACTAACACTGGAGGCTGCCATCAGTATGGTTCGGCAACCATTCCCGATGAATCAAGATTCATGAATCATCTGCTGCTCTTCATAATGATTAACAACGATTCTCGCAATTATCAGCAACAGTTCGCTGTAATCTACAAGGAGTCACCGATTTACAGAGAATTACTTGAAGATATTATTATTTCTAGTGATTCTCGGTGATCTACAGTTACTTAGCTACAGTTAGTATTTACAAGTACCTACAGTTGATTCACAATGACTATTTACAACGACTCACAATAATCAATGATTCACTGGTACCTACAATGATTCAATTGTACCTACAACGATTGATTGATACTTATAATGATTCACTGGTACCTAAAATAACTCGCAGTGATCTCCAGTGGTTCAAGATGACCTCTGGTTATTCAAGATGCCTCCCAGTGGTTCAAGATTACCTTCGGGGATTCAAGATGCCTGCCAGTGTATCAAGATAACCCCCGGTGATTCAAAATGTCTCCCAGTGGTTTAAGATGGCTCCCAGTAGTTCAAGATGACTTACAATGAGCTACATTGATCTATAAAAGCTTATAATAATCCCTCGCGATGATCAGCAGAACCTCACAGAAAAGTCGAATTGACTTGTCCTTGAACGAAAGTCGCTGATGTGTTTACGTTACTGAAGACAACTCGCTTGAAGCTTGGTGTCTGCAGTGAAGCACGATCACTTACATATAGTAACAGTGATCTATAGCATCTAGTTACGAACAGGGAACCTTTGAGATAACAACTGACGTTACACCTCACTGATCTTGAGCGCGGTGAAGATGACAAACAGTGCTATGCAGACACTTTGCGACGCGCCGCATGTACGGGGCCAAGCACTACATTAACGCAGCATCACAGGTACATTATCTGGCCAGTCATCGCCATAAAAGCATAGCGTACATTGACGGGCAGTGACAAATTGAAATATATTTAAGTGCTGGAGTACAATGTACCAAAACTTGCCTAAAACATAACCTAATGTGGCCAAGCGCCATTTTCCCAGTAACGTCTCAACGTACATCTCCTTATTTCTCTCTTCTCTCTTAACAAATAGTTACAAGAACTTTATATTTTTGGGTTAACCCACAATTAGGTTTAGACATAAAAGAGACGATATAAATATAGCCAAATGTTGAGGAGAGGCTGAGCCTTGCAGGCTGGCGGCGTCTCGCCACTCGCGCTGTATAGTAGCACCAAAGATGTAGTTTAATTGTTTGCACCTAATTACTTGAGATGTGAATATTAATTAAATTTAAGCAAACGACCTAAATCAAATGATCTAATTTTAAAGGATAGTTTTAGTTGGCAGTGACTTTGTAGACTTAGAGGATGTGCTCTTGTGATGAATGTGTCGTCCGGTGACTGAGATGTGTCGTCCTGTGACTGAGATGTGTCGTCCTGTGACTGAGATGTGTCGTCCTGTGACTGAGATGTGTCGTCCTGTGACTGAGATGTGTCGTCCTGTGATTGAGATGTGTCGTCCGGTGACTGAGATGTGTCGTCCTGTGACTGAGATGTGTCGTCCTGTGACTGAGATGTGTCGTCCGGTGACTGAGATGTGTCGTCCTGTGACTGAGATGTGTCGTCCTGTGACTGAGATGTGTCGTCCTGTGACTGAGATGTGTCATCCTGTGACTGAGATGTGTTGTCCTGTGACGGAGTTAGTCGAGGATCTGAGACATTATGGATGGCTTGTAGTGATGCTATGACTGACCTGTGCTAGCAACAAGTACAGTTATCACTGACCTGTGCTAGCAACAAGTACAGTTATCACTGACCTGTGCTAGCAACAAGTACAGTTATCATTGACCTGTGCTAGCAACAAGTACAGTTATCACTGACCTGTGCTAGCAACAAGTACAGTTATCATTGACCTGTGCTAGCAACAAGTACAGTTATCACTGACCTGTGCTAGCAACAAGTACAGTTATCACTGACCTGTGCTAGCAACAAGTACAGTTATCATTGACCTGTGCTAGCAACAAGTACAGTTATCAGTGACCTGTGCTAGCAACAAGTACAGTTATCAGTGACCTGTGCTAGCAACAAGTACAGTTATCACTGACCTGTGCTAGCAACAAGTACAGTTATCACTGACCTGTGCTAGCAACAAGTACAGTTATCACTGACCTGTGCCAGCAACAAGTACAGTTATCACTGACCTGTGCCAGCAACAAGTACAGTTATCACTGACCTGTGCTAGCAACAAGTACAGTTATCATTGACCTGTGCTAGCAACAAGTACAGTTATCACTGACCTGTGCTAGCAACAAGTACAGTTATCACTGACCTGTGCCAGCAACAAGTACAGTTATCACTGACCTGTGCTAGCAACAAGTACAGTTATCACTGACCTGTGCTAGCAACAAGTACAGTTATCACTGACCTGTGCTAGCAACAAGTACAGTTATCACTGACCTGTGCTAGCAACAGGTACAGTTATCAAGGTGGTATGTAAAGGAGTCCATTGAGTTCTCTCAGTTATCAAAATAATTACAAAATAATTTTATGAGTACATCTTGTTAAATACTTGTTTAAAAATGTTGTTATTATTTAACTTTACCGAGCAGTTGTACTGTAAACTATTTGTCATGAGTTACAATAACAGATTAAACAATGGAGTTAACCCGTGGACACATAACCACGATTTGCGTGGATATATGTTTGTGTATGTGTGTGTGTGTGTGTGTGTGTGTGTGTGTGTGTGTGTGTGTGTGTGTGTGTGTGTGTGTGTGTGTGTGTGTGTGCGTGTGTGTGCGTGTGTGTGTGTGTGTGTGTGTGTGTGTGTGTGTGTGTGTGTGTGTGTGTGTGTGTGTGTGTGTTTTAATGCGGGTGCTTTTATCTGAATGTTATGATAATTAGTCTAGTTTAGATCCTGCCAAAGATCTCCACCCAACATTGTTACAATCTCAGTGTTATTATTTATTTAAAACATATGTGTGTGTGTGTGTGTGTGTGTGTGTGTGTGTGTGTGTGTGTGTGTGTGTGTGTGTGTGTGTGTGTGTGTGTGTGTGTATGTGTGTGCGTGTATGTGTGCGCGCGTGCGCGTGTTTGAGCCCGTCTTGTGCATATACACATTTTTAAGTTTCCTGGATTTTACACTTAAGAAATGTATAGGTGTATCCCTGTAGCTAGAGTATTAATGCATACCGATCAAAGTGGCCAGTGTAAACATGTCTCCACCATTCATGTACCTACTCTTCGTTTTTCTCCTCCTCCTTCTTTCCCTCCAACATTATCACTACAGGTTGCGAACCCGCGTCTCCAGCTCCAGCGAGCCATAATTCACTATTACCGCGAGTGTGAGGCGTTATTATTATCGCCATGGGACCTCATCAGGCGGATGCTGCTGCTGCTGCTGCTGCTGTGTCGTTCCTCTGCTGAGATAAGCATCAGCGTCACTGACTGCTGTGGCAGGTCCACGTCCCTTTCCCCCCTCCCATGGCCACTGTGTTGCCCTGGAGGCTTCCTCATCCTGTCACTCGACGATTTTTGTTTGGTTTATTCCCAATACTCATGTGTATTTCTCTATGATTTTCTGAATAAGTATAAATGTTCCCCCTAGAGGTGACATACGATATTGTTGCCCCTCAACTAGTGTATAATTCTATATGAATATATTACTCCAGGTGTACTATTATGTATGAGTCCAAACTAAAAGTGAATAAGTGAATAACAACATTTCAGTTGTACATTTTTGTGAAATCATACAGTGACTCGGTATGACAAAATCACTGTAAGTATAACAATGGATCAATTCAACAAAACTTTGCTAAATGTATTGAGTTTCAGGTTTTAAATAGGCTTTAAATAATCACTTTAGGGGAATTTTACGTTCAGTGCACGTAACTATACAAATTTTGTGGTCACAAAAAATGTAATACCATTCACTTTTCCCCCCCATTTTTTTTTAGAACGCAGTAGCAAATGAGTTACATAATGAGATAGTACGTGTGTGTGTGTGTGTGTGTGTGTGTGTGTGTGTGTGTGTGTGTGTGTGTGTGTGTGTGTGTGCTAATTCTACTGTGTGAAGAAAGTAACATTTACCCAGATGGGTGAGCATGAGTTTAGATAAAGCAACAATGAGCCAGGCAAGAGCCAGAGCACTGTACATACACTGGGCTTGGTGTGAGGTGTGGTGCCGGGGCCGGGCGCCACACGTCTCGCACATACCATCTAGCCAGAGCACGTGCCTTAGTAGACGTAAGTGTGTGAGCACCTGTAGAAATTATAAGTCCAAAATTATCACGTGTTTGTTATTCATCCTTCATAGCCTTGACACCAACTTATAATAATGCATATGTAACTCAGTGTTTGATGGACAGGGAGGCCAGAGGGTTGATCACTCGTGCCGGGTTGCCTAGAGGGTGACGCTAAGAGTGCGGCCAGCAGCAAGAATGTGTTCCCTTGAAAAGTGAGTAAGAATACTCACCCTCACAACAAACTGGGTTACCAGTCACTGGGGACAAGATGGAATAAAACAGTTGGAACAACAGTCCTCTGCCAGCTTGGTGCCGAAGGACATCCAGGAGAGAGGTAACACATCATCCCGTAGCCAATATAGACCACTGTCATGGGTCAAAGCGACTGTCTCAAATTTCAAACACATCAAACGAAGAATTGTACTCACCTAGTTGTGCTTGCGGGGGTTGAGCTCTGGCTCTTTTGGTCCCGCCTCATTGTCACCTGGAAGTTATGTCACAAAACATGGCTATATCATATATCTGTCAGAAGGGCTCAACCCTGGAGCAGAGCAACACTTCTCACCTGGCCAACCTTCTTATGTGCCATTAGGAAGATCAAATTTTGTATAAAAAGAAAAAATATAACGTTTCTGATAGTTTGGAAAATATTGCCAAACACATTTACGGAATGGATAAAGAAACTCTTAAAAGCTGCAAAATATTTGTTACAGAATTGGTAAAAGAAAAGCCACGTACTCGATTTTAACCAACCAAAACAGGAATTAAACATAATAAATATGCATTAGTATCAATAATGAGAGCCACACGTCTGTTTAGAGAGTACCTAATGTGACGATCGTCAACAGTCACGAATTCGTACGTACTTAGCTTTTAGATAGTAGATTACAGACTAGTTGGGATTTTATTAAAATTAATGAAGCTAAAAAAGAAACTTAAATATTCCTAGGCCTCAGGAATATTAGGCCTCAGATATCGTGTATTAGGCCTACGAAGGTTAGGTTAGTCTGTCAGAGCAACACAAGTAAAAAATAGTTTCCCGTTTGTCCAACTCAATAGTCCAGATTTCTACTTTCTAATTTCGTTGCACATCGGTATATATACTATGGTCCTCGTCGTTAGTATAAGTACAACCAAAACAGGAGAATGGGCTGGATTAATTATATTCCGAAAGACGCAGCATCCACACGCACAAGGACGCAGCATCCACAAGGTCAAGGACGCAGCATCCACAAGGTCAAGGACGCAGCATCCACAAGGACAAGGACGCACTATCCACAAGATCCACAAGGACAAGGACGCACTATCCACAAGATCCACAAGGACAAGGACGCAGCATCCACAAGGACAAGGGCGCAGCATCCACAAGGACAAGGCCGCAGCATCCACAAGGACAAGGACGCAGCATCCACAAGGACAAGGAGGCACCATCCACAAGGACAAGGACGCACCATCCACAAGGACAAGGACGCAGCATCCACAAGACAAGGACGCAGCATCCACAAGGTCAAGGACGCAGCATCCACAAGGACAAGGACGCAGCATCCACAAGGACAAGGACGCAACATCTACAAGATCCACAAGGACAAGGACGCAGCATCCACAAGGACAAGGAGGCACCATCCACAAGGACAAGGACGCAGCATCCACAAGACAAGGACGCAGCATCCACAAGGTCAAGGACGCAGCATCCACAAGGACAAGCAGGCACCATCCACAAGGACAAGGACGCACCATCCACAAGGACAAGGACGCAGCATCCACAAGACAAGGACGCAGCATCCACAAGGTCAAGGACGCAGCATCCACAAGGACAAGGACGCAGCATCCACAAGACAAGGACGCAGCATCCACAAGGTCAAGGACGCAGCATCCACAAGGACAAGGACGCAGCATCCACAAGACAAGGACGCAGCATCCACAAGGACAAGGCATCCACAAGGTCAAGGACGCAGCATCCACAAGGACAAGGACGCACTATCCAAAAGATCCACAAGGATAAGGACGCAGCATCCACAAGGACAAGGACGCAGCATCCACAAGGACAAGGACGCAGCATCCACAAGGACAAGGACGCAGCATCCACAAGACAAGGACGCAGCATCCACAAGGTCAAGGACGCACCATCCACAAGGACAAGGACGCAACATCGACAAGGACAAGGACGCACCATCCACAAGGAAAAGGACGCAGCATCCACAAGGACAAGGACGCAGCATCCACAAGGACAAGGACGCAGCATCCACAAGGACGCACCATCCACAAGGACATGGACGCAGCATCCACAAGGACAAGGACGCAGCATCCACAAGGACAAGGGCGCAGCATCCACAAGGACAAGGACGCAGCATCCAAAAGGACAAGGACGCAGCATCCACAAGACAAGGACGCAGCATCCACAAGGACAAGGACGCACTATCCAAAAGATCCACAAGGATAAGGACGCAGCATCCACAAGGACAAGGACGCAGCATCCACAAGGACAAGGGCGCAGCATCCACAAGGAAAAGGACGCAGCATCCACAAAGACAAGGACGCAGCATCCACAAGGACAAGGACGCAGCATCCACAAAGACAAGGACGCAGCATCCACAAGGACAAGGACGCAGCATCCACAAGGACAAGGACGCAGCATCCACAAGGACAAGGACGCAGCATCCACAAGGACAAGGGCGCAGCATCCACAAGGACAAGGACGCAGCATCCAAAAGGACAAGGACGCAGCATCCACAAGACAAGGACGCAGCATCCACAAGGACAAGGACGCACTATCCAAAAGATCCACAAGGATAAGGACGCAGCATCCACAAGGACAAGGACGCAGCATCCACAAGGACAAGGGCGCAGCATCCACAAGGAAAAGGACGCAGCATCCACAAAGACAAGGACGCAGCATCCACAAGGACAAGGACGCAGCATCCACAATGACAAGGACGCAGCATCCACAAGGACAAGGACGCAGCATCCACAAGGACAAGGGCGCAGCATCCACAAGGACAAGGACGCAGCATCCACAAGGACAAGGACGCACTATCCAAAAGATCCACAAGGATAAGGACGCAGCATCCACAAGGACAAGGACGCAGCATCCACAAGGACAAGGGCGCAGCATCCACAAGGAAAAGGACGCAGCATCCACAAAGACAAGGACGCAGCATCCACAAGGACAAGGACGCAGCATCCACAAAGACAAGGACGCAGCATCCACAAGGACAAGGACGCAGCATCCACAAGGACAAGGACGCAGCATCCACAAGGACAAGGACGCAGCATCCACAAGGACAAGGACGCAGCATCCACAAGGACAAGGACGCAGGAATAACGATAACAAAAGACTGGACATCAACGAGGCCCCACACATCAAAAAGTCAAGACCATCAATCAACAACCAGTGAACACAAACATTCTACCCACTTCAAGACCCTGAACCATCACAAAGACAGTAGAAGCAAGAACATCAGCTGCTTATGTTCATGCATATATTAGCCTATTAAGATCCATTCGTCTACTTGAGTATCTCAATCATGTCCTGTACCAGTTCACCCCAAGAGAATATAAGCTTTTGCTAATTCATTGTAAATTTGTCTTTGAAAATGTAAGGAATTCCTTTTGGCACGCATCCCTAGGCGTCAGACCATAATTGTGAAAATGAACTGTGGAGAGTTAATTTTTCAACTTCCCTCGACAGTGAAGAAAAACATAAGAAATATTTAGAAGATTCGTATTAGAATAATTAATCTTACCCTTTCGGTCATATTCAACAACATACGTTTACAGCTCAGGATTGAAGCAAGGCGATGAAGAACTCTGTAGGGTAAGGCAGGTCCTAGTCAACAATGGTTTCTCTAACGGTTTGTTGAAGACATCATAAAAAGGAAGGTGAAACGCCATGCAACCTCTGAAGAGTCAACTAACACAACACTTGTACCCCCTATTAGACTATTTTACAGGAACCTCTTTTCGACAACTCATAAAACGGAGGAAAGGTTCCTGAAAGATATTATTGATAGGAACGTTATCCCTACAGACTAAAATCAGAAAATACAATTGACAGTTTACTAGAAAAACAAAAAACCGGCCAATCTACTCATGAAAAACTCCCCAGACACCAAACAGAACGCCCTGAAGGAAACCAACGTCGTCTATGCCTTCACATGCCCGCTTGGGGACTGTCAGCCTCGAAGAACTTAGTATATAGGCAAGACAACAACGTCTCTTTCCAGGCGATTAACAATGCACAAACAACAGGGCTCCAGCAACAAACATATAATCTCTTCTCACAACCAGACCATCACCAGAGAAATTTTAACAAGCAGCACAGAAATCATCGATAAATACAGCGATAGCAGGTGACTCGACATCAGCGAGGCACTACACATCATAAAGTCAACACCAACAACCAACAGCCAATTAATGCACAAATATATTCTACCCACTTCAAGACCCCGAACCAACATAGAAGCAGCAAGAGGAGGTATGGGCCAATAGGCCTTCTGCAGTTACTTCCATTCTTATGTTTTCATACCCATTGTTTCGTGTTCTGTCTTCTGTTTATCACCTCACAAAAAACTTTTGTGCCATATCACCTCACCCAAAAGGAGTATAAGTGTGATGAATTTTTATGTGTAAACTAAGTCTGTGAAAATGTAATAAGCATTACGAAACGCGTTCAAGCGTCAGACCAAAATTAAAAAATGAATTTTGAAGATTTTTTTTTCAATTACCCGCGACAGTGAAGAAAACCGTAAGAAATATTGAAAAGATATGTGTTAGAATTATTAATATTACCCTTTCGGTCATATTCAACCACATATGTTTACAAGAAAGACTGCTACCAATATATGCATATATATATATATATATATATATATATATATATATATATATATATATATATATATATATATATATATATATATATATATATATATGTCGTACCTAACAGCCAGAACGCACTTCTCAGCCTACTATTCAAGGCCCGATTTGCCTAATAAGCCAAGTTTTCATGAATTAATGTTTTTTCGTCTACCTAACCTACCTAACCTAACCTAACCTAGCTTTTTTTGGCTACCTAACCTAACCTCACCTATAAATATAGGTTAGGTTAGGTTAGGTAGGGTTGGTTAGGTTCGGTCATATATCTACGTTAGTTTTAACTACAATAAAAAAAATGACCTCATACATAGAGAAAAGGGTTGCTTTATGATTTCATAAGAAAAAAATTATAGTAAATATATTAATTCAGGAAAACTTGGCTTATTAGGCAAATCGGGCCTTGAATAGTAGGCTGAGAAGTGAGTTCTGGCTACTAGGTACGACATATATATATATATATATATATATATATATATATATATATATATATATATATATATATATATATATATATATATATATATATATATATATATATAGATGCCTCGAACCACTGACCCTAAATATATTTTTTAATTTATCGAGTCAGAGAAAGAGTGCAAGTTATAGAGGAAGGGACAGAGAGAGACGGGGAGCCCACTATCTCTCCCACACCATTAGCTCGTCTAACCCTAACCTGTCAATACATTAACCCTGGGTTTAACGAAGTAAGACAAGGCGATGACTGGTCGTTAATACCGTCCAATGAAAATCAATGGAGCTGAGTAATGACCAATCAGACGCAGGTAATTACATCTGGTGGGAACAAAAGAGGAGCGCGATCCGCTGCCTGGCTGTCTCATGACACCTGTCTTGTTGGCTGGTTGGTGTGGGGGTGATGTGGTGGTGTGGGGGTGATGTGGTGGTGTGGGGGTGATGTGGTGGTGGTGTGGGGGCGTTGTTGTGGTGGTGTGGGGGCGTTGTTGTGGTGTGGGGGTGATGTGGTGGTGTGGGGGTGATGTGGTGGTGGTGTGGGGGCGTTGTTGTGGTGTGGGGGTGATGTGGTGGTGTGGGGGTGATGTGGTGGTGGTGTGGGGGCGTTGTGGTGGTGTGGGGGCGTTGTTGTGATGTGGGGGCGTTGTGGTGGTGTGGGGGCGTTGTTGAGGTGTGGGAGCGTTGTGGTGGTGTGGGGGCGTTGTTGTGGTGTGGGGGCGTTGTTGTGGTGTGGGAGCGTTGTTGTGATGTGGGGGCGTTGTTGTGGTGTGGGGGCGTTGTTGTGGTGTGGGGGCGTTGTTGTGGTGTGGGGGCGTTGTTGTGGTGTGGGGGCGTTGTTGTGGTGTGGGGGCGTTGTTGTGGTGTGGGGGCGTTGTTGTGGTGGGGAGAGTTGTTGTGATGTGGGGGCGTTGTTGTGGTGTGGGGGCGTTGTTGTGGTGTGGGGGCGTTGTTGTGGTGTGGGGGCGTTGTTGTGGTGTGGGGGCGTTGTTGTGGTGTGGGGGCGTTGTTGTGGTGTGGGGGTTGGGCGGTTGTTGTGGTGTGGGGGCGTTGTGGTGATGTGGGGGAGTTGTGTGGTGTGGGGGCGTTGTTGTGGTGTGGGGGAGTTGTGTTGTTGTGGTGGGGGGCGTTTGTTGGTGGTGGTGGGTGTGGGGGCGTTGTTGTGGTGTGGGGGCGTTGTTGTGGTGTGGGGGCGTTGTTGTGGTGTGGGGGCGTTGTTGTGGTGTGGGGGCGTTGTTGTGGTGTGGGGGCGTTGTTGTGGTGTGGGGGCGTTGTTGTGGTGTGGGGGCGTTGTTGTGGTGTGGGGGCGTTGTTGTGGTGTGGGGGCGTTGTTGTGGTGTGGGGGCGTTGTTGTGGTGTGGGGGCGTTGTTGTGGTGTGGGGGCGTTGTTGTGGTGTGGGGGCGTTGTGTGGTGTGGGGGCGTTGTTGTGGTGTGGGGGCGTTGTTGTGGTGTGGGGGCGTTGTTGTGGTGTTGGGGCGTTGTTGTGATGTGGGGGCGTTGTTGTGGTGTGGGGGCGTTGTTGTGGTGTGGGGGCGTTGTTGTGGTGTGGGGGCGTTGTTGTGGTGTGGGGGCGTTGTTGTGGTGTGGGGGCGTTGTTGTGGTGTGGGGGCGTTGTTGTGGTGGGGGCGTTGTTGTGATGTGGGGGCGTTGTTGTGGTGTGGGGGCGTTGTTGTGGTGTGGGGGCGTTGTTGTGGTGTGGGGGCGTTGTTGTGGTGTGGGGGCGTTGTTGTGGTGTGGGGGCGTTGTTGTGATGTGGGGGCGTTGTTGTGATGTGGGGGCGTTGTTGTGGTGTGGGGGCGTTGTTGTGGTGTGGGGGCGTTGTTGTGGTGTGGGGGCGTTGTTGTGATGTGGGGGCGTTGTTGTGGTGTGGGGGCGTTGTTGTGGTGTGGGGGCGTTGTTGTGGTGTGGGGGCGTTGTTGTGGTGTGGGGGCGTTGTTGTGGTGTGGGGGGTTGTTGTGGTGTGGGGGCGTTGTTGTGGTGTGGGGGCGTTGTTGTGATGTGGGGGCGTTGTTGTGGTGTGGGGGCGTTGTTGTGGTGTGGGGGCGTTGTTGTGATGTGGGGGCGTTGTTGTGGTGTGGGGGCGTTGTGGTGGTGTGGGGGCGTTGTTGTGGTGTGGGAGCGTTGTTGTGATGTGGGAGCGTTGTTGTGGTGTGGGGGCGTTGTGGTGGTGTGGGGGCGTTGTTGTGGTGTGGGGGCGTTGTTGTGGTGTGGGGGCGTTGTTGTGATGTGGGGGCGTTGTTGTGGTATGGGGGCGTTGTTGTGGTGTGGGGGCGTTGTTGTGATGTGGGGGCGTTGTTGTGATGTGGGGGCGTTGTTGTGGTGTGGGGGCGTTGTGGTGGTGTGGGGGGGCGTTGTTGTGGTGTGGGGGCGTTGTTGTGATGTGGGGGCGTTGTTGTGATGTGGGGGCGTTGTTGTGATGTGGGGGCGTTGTTGTGATGTGGGAGCGTTGTTGTGGTGTGGGGGCGTTGTGGTGGTGTGGGGGCGTTGTTGTGGTGTGGGGGCGTTGTTGTGGTGTGGGAGCGTTGTTGTGATGTGGGAGCGTTGTTGTGGTGTGGGGGCGTTGTTGTGATGTGGGGGCGTTGTTGTGGTGTGGGGGCGTTGTTGTGGTGTGGGGGCGTTGTTGTGATGTGGGGGCGTTGTTGTGATGTGGGGGCGTTGTTGTGGTGTGGGGGCGTTGTTGTGGTGTGGGGGCGTTGTTGTGATGTGGGGGCGTTGTTGTGGTGTGGGGGCGTTGTTGTGATGTGGGGGCGTTGTTGTGATGTGGGGGCGTTGTTGTGATGTGGGGGCGTTGTTGTGGTGTGGGGGCGTTGTTGTGGTGTGGGGGCGTTGTTGTGATGTGGGGGCGTTGTTGTGGTGTGGGGGCGTTGTTGTGGTGTGGGGGCGTTGTTGTGATGTGGGGGCGTTGTTGTGATGTGGGGGCGTTGTTGTGGTGTGGGGGCGTTGTTGTGATGTGGGGGCGTTGTTGTGATGTGGGGGCGTTGTTGTGATGTGGGGGCGTTGTTGTGGTGTGGGAGCGTTGTGGTGGTGTGGGGGCGTTGTTGTGGTGTGGGGGCGTTGTTGTGGTGTGGGGGCGTTGTTGTGGTGTGGGGGCGTTGTTGTGATGTGGGGGCGTTGTTGTGGTGTGGGGGCGTTGTTGTGATGTGGGGCGTTGTTATGGTGTGGGGGCGTTGTTGTGGTGTGGGGGCGTTGTTGTGATGTGGGGGCGTTGTTGTGGTGTGGGGGCGTTGTTGTGATGTGGGGGCGTTGTTGTGATGTGGGGGCGTTGTTGTGGTGTGGGGGCGTTGTTGTGATGTGGGGGCGTTGTTGTGGTGTGGGGGCGTTGTTGTGATGTGGGGGCGTTGTTGTGATGTGGGGGCGTTGTTGTGGTGTGGGGGCGTTGTTGTGATGTGGGGGCGTTGTTGTGGTGTGGGGGCGTTGTTGTGGTGTGGGGGCGTTGTTGTGATGTGGGGGCGTTGTTGTGGTGTGGGGGTGTGGGGGCGTTGTTGTCGTGGGTGTGTGAAGGCGTTATTGTGAGGGGTGTTGGGGCGTTGTTATTGTGGTATGAGGGCCTTTGTTGTGGTGAGTTGGGGGCGTTGTGGGGGAGAGGGGGGGGCGTTGTGTTGGAGAGACGGGGGGCGTTGTGGGGGAGAGATGGGAGGGGGGCGTTGTTGTGACGTGAGGACGTTGTTAGTAGTGTGATATACCGCTAAGCTGAAACCGACAGTGTCGCCTCCAGGGAAATAGGTTAGGTTAGGTTAGGTTAGGTTAGGTTAGGTTAAACAGAGAATTTTTGGTCCCAGTCTGAGCTGTGCGGTATCCGTTTCAAGACTGAATTTTTTTCAGTTTCACTTACCGCTAAGCCGCCATCCGTATTAAGACAGATTTTTTTCCAAGTCTTAGTCCCCACTTCATTCCCTGGAAACACAAACCGAAACTGTCTCTATTTTCCGCTTGTAACAACTTGTAATAAAGTTGTTACATCTTGGCTTAATGTGTTTATGACGTATTGGAACGTTGTTACAACTTTATATATTGGTTGTTATAACTAGTTAGGTGGTGTTAAAACTTGTTCGAACGTTGTACCAACGTCGTAGTTTCGGTGTGTGTTTGGCGGGTTGTCACCTGTTTTCGGGTAAATTTTGACAGTCCAGTTTTAGGAAAATATTTCAGAGTACTTTTCAGAGAATAGTTTTATTAGGAGTTTGTTATGGAATTCCCAGTTTCAGCTGTGGACGTAAGGAATTCTTATGGGGAAAATTCTAGGCAAAAGTTACACCTGCGGACTTAAAAAAAAAAAAAAAGAGTTCTTACATATACAAATAAACTCTACGGACTTAAGCAGATATTTTTAAAAAGTTAATCAGAAGTTAGTTCTTGGACCAGTCTCTATACGTTTATACGTGTAGCTTGGCTACTAATAGCCCAAATTTCGCTCAATTTAAATCAGTCATATTTCAGACGTAGTAAGAAAAGAAAATTGAGTTACCGAACTCCGGCTCATCCACAAGGACAAGGACGCAGCATCCACAAGGACAAGGACGCAGCATCCACAAGGACGCAGCATCTACAAGGACGCAGCATCCACAAGGACGCAGCATCCACAAGGAAGCAGCATCCACAAGGACAAGGACGCAGCATCCACAAGGACGCAGCATCCACAAGGACAAGGACGCAGCATCCACAAGGACAAGGACGCACCATCCACAATGACAAGGACGCAGCATCCACAAGGACAAGGACGCAGCATCCACAAGGACAAGGACGCAGCATCCACAGTGACAAGGACGCAGCATCCACAGTGACAAGGACGCAGCATCCACAAGGACGCAGCATCCACAAGGACAAGGACGCAGCATCCACAAGGACGCAGCATCCACAAAGACGCAGCATCCACAAAGACGCAGCATCCACAAGGACAAGGACGCACCATCCACAATGACAAGGACGCAGCAATCAAAAGGACAAGGACGCAGCATCCACAAGGACAAGGACGCAGCATCCACAAGGACAAGGACGCAGCATCCACAATGACAAGGACGCAGCAATCAAAAGGACAAGGACGCAGCATCCACAAGGACAAGGACGCAGCATCCACAAGGACAAGGACGCAGCATCCACAAGGACAAGGACGCAGCATCCACAAAGACGCAGCATCCACAAGGACGCAGCATCCACAAGGACAAGGACGCAGCATCCACAAGGACAAGGACGCAGCATCCACAAGGACAAGGACGCAGCATCCACAAGGACAAGGACGCAGCATCCACAAGGACGCAGCTTCCACAAAGACGCAGCATCCACAAGGACAAGGACGCAGCATCCACAAGGACTAGGACGCAGCATCCACAAGGACAAGGACACAGCATCCACAAGGACAAGGACGCAGCATCCACAAGGACAAGGACGCAGCATCCACAATGACAAGGACGCAGCATCCACAAGGACAAGGACGCAGCATCCACAAGGACAAGGACACAGCATCCACAAGGACAAGGACGCAGCATCCACAAGGACAAGGACGCAGCATCCACAAGGACAAGGACGCAGCATCCACAATGACAAGGACGCAGCATCCACAAGGAGCCGGTCGGCCGAGCGGACAGCACACTGGACTTGTGATCCTGTGGTCCCGGGTTCAATCCCGGGCGCCGGCGAGAAACGATGGGCAGAGTTTCTTTCACCCTATGCCCCTGTTACCTAGCAGTAAAATAGGTACCTGGGTGTTAGTCAGCTGTCACGGGCTGCTTCCTGGGGGTGGAGGCCTGGTCGAGGACCGGGCCGCGGGGACACTAAAGCCCCGAAATCATCTCAAGATAACCTCATCTCATCTCAAGATAGGACTAGGACGTGCGAATGAACTTCAGTTCATTCGGACAACTTTGCTACTATCAGTCTAAATCCAATAAAATTTAAAACCGTTGTATATCCGACGTAGTAAATAAGATCAACGGAGTTACCGAGTTCTAGCTCCCGTCCTCCAGCTTGGACCACTCTCGTAAATTAGTTATCAGTCCAATATCCCTGAAAATTAAAACCGCTATATATCGTTCACAGGAAAGTAAATCAAAGCAATTACCGAGTTTAAGCTCCCGTCCTCGCCTCAGTTGACACCCGTAGATACGATTCTATCAGTCCAATTTCCCTGAATGTTAAAACCGCTGCATTTCTTACCTAGTAAAATAGATCAAAGCAATTGCTAATCTCCAACTTCTCTTCCGCCTTAGTTCAATATTTACCAAACACAGTATGTCAGGACACCAGACCGGCCCTGCCTGTCGCCTTTATCAGAGTAAGTAAACGAAAGTCATAGCAGCTTCTTCAAGCACTGTAAATAATCACTCACCAGGTAATTATCACACGGTCATACACATCTTATCTCTCCTCGTCCCTCTCTCCATGCCCCCTCCCCCCCCCCCGTGCTCGTCCGCTCACCAATCTTCCACTTACCCCCCAGCTCCCACTCCCACCTCCCCCCAACTCCCCCAGCATCTTACCCCCTTCCACAACTCCACCCAAACCTCACCCCCCCCCCCCCAGATCCATTCTCAACTCTGCCCCGCAAGAATTTGAAATGTAGCTATTACAAATATTCTTACTGTATTTGTGTGTTCTCTCCAAGGTTCACGGCATATTCTCTGTACAACTTGTTATACATTGTTCATGTTCTCTGAGAGTTCAAATCATATTTTTTCGCTTGTTTCTCCGGTTCTTCAAATTTTCTTTCATATTCTCTGCAAGTTCAATTCATATTTTTTCCCCCATTTCTCCGTGATCTCCGCATTCTCTTACATGCTCTTTGTTTCTTTAAAATCAAATGTACAATTGTTTCTGCCATCTTGAGGTTCAGTAAATAGTTCACAGTTATGTATTGTCAACCGAATTATTGGCCCCTAACAAATTTAGTTACAATTCGTTTAGTTATTTACAAATTTATTTAGTCATACACCAATGTTTTTTTTCAAACAACTATGTCAATGTATTTCTTTATCAAACTATTGTTTCTTACTAATACGGTTCTTAAACAAATCTGCCTTTATTTAGTAACGAATTTACTAAGACATTCTTTTTTTTCTCATTTCTTAATTAAAATCATTCGTCAATCAACTGAAAATAGTCACGTTCGTCATCTTTACATAATTTCATAACTAGTAATACCCTTTATACAGTATTAATTTTACTAAGATATTCTTTTTTTTATCTTATATTAACTAAGGATACACTCAAATTAGTTTAAGTTAACATCTTTTAATAATTTCTTAATTAAAATAACCCTTCTCTCAACGAAAAATAATCAAGTGTAATTTCTTTCAACAATTTCTTACCTACCATTATGCGTCGTTGAGTCAGAAAAAAATAGTCAAGAGTAATTTTTTCATAACAATTTCTAAACTAAAGTTACTCTCAGAAACATCTTTGCACATCAAACGATACTCTCATGTCATCTTTATTCTCCAATAATATGCTCAATGACATCAAAATACTATTCAAGACATAAAAAGTTATCCTGAGAGTCATCACAGATAATCTCGGAAACATTAATCATACTCTTCAAGCATTAAAAGACTCTCTGTGTTGTATTTACTTAAGAAGGATACTATCTAAACATCTTCGTGCATTTAAAGAATCTCTCTAAGACAACAATAATATGTTCCGATATAATTTAATTATCATTTGCACTCTTTAATGCGAATTTATATTAAAATAATTACTCTTTAGAACTTCTTCGTTCATCAAATAATACTCTATAACATTGTTGACCAGACCACACACAAGAAGTTGAAGGGACGACGACGTTTCGGTCCGTCCTGGACCATTCTCAAGTCGATAATTTTACTAAGATATTCTTTTTTTTACTGATTTTTGATCGACTTGAGAATGGTCCAGGACGGACCGAAACGTCGTCGTCCCTTCAACTTCTAGTGTGTGGTCTGGTCAACATACTTCAGTCCCGTTATTGTGACTCCTCGCCTGCTCTATAACATTGTTCTTCATTCAATAAGTTGTCACTAGCAACTATGGGCGCCTAACAGCTGTGTGGACAGCGCTTCCGATTCGTAGTCCTGAGGTTCCGGGTTCGATCCCCGGTGGAGGCTGAGACAAATGGGCAAAATGTTTCTTTCACCCTGATGTCCCTATTACCTAGCAGTAAATAGATACCTGGGAGTTAGATAGCTGCTACGGGCTGCTTCTTGGGGGGGGGGGTAACAAAAAGGAGGCCTGATGGAGGACCGGGCCGCGGGGACGCTAAGCCCCGAAATTATCGCAAGATAACCAAGATAGCATTGTTTTCAAGAAATATGTAATTTAAGTTTACGTTAAACTTACTAAGATCCGGCATTATGTAGTCGCAAACAACTTTAAGTATTATATCAAACTAAACATGTGTAACTTTATGTACTAATAAACTTATGCGTCGTGTATAAATGAGTAAAATAACTAACTTTTATGTAGTAGTAGCAGTTTCACTAGGACATTTAGTCCAAACTTGCATTTCAGTTTATGAGTTATTCTGTTAAAAATATATTTTCTTAACCACATTATCTTAAAACTGTTCTCTGAACAACAATGAATTACCATACCTAACCCTTGATTTACCTGGACTAACCTATCCTAATGTAACCTACCTAACACAACTTATCTATCCTCACTACCTGATTGAACATAACATATATCATAACTTTCACAATATAACTTTCCTTACATAACTTACCTGAGGAAACTTGCCCAACCTGACCTGACCTAACTTACATAACTTATTTAACCTGTCCTAACCTAACCTATCCTGACATTGCATAACTTACACAATTTGCCAAATTACTTGACTTACATTACTTAATAACTTCCCTTACCTGAGGTAACTTATCTCCCCCCACCTCTACCTGTTGTAACTTACATATCTTAGCCTACTTGATGTAACTTACCTCTCTAGATGTAACTTATATAACTTACCAAACCTAATGAACAAATCCACAAGGGTTCGTGACGAGGGTTCGAACCTACGTCCGAGAGGATCTCAGACGCTGCCTTATTCGACTGAGCTACGACACAGTTAAAAGAATTGCAACCGGGAAATCATCCTGACCTCCCACGGGTCCTGCAGCCTCTCCGAGACACAAACCAGGGTTTTACACAATTTCCCCCTGCACCCGAGACGATCAACCTATCCTCTTAAAAAGAACGTCGCTTTTGGCCGTTTGCCCGTATGGTCGAATATGGACGTAATTTGAAAATGAACAAAAAATTAAATAAATTTGGGATTTTTTTTGTCAACAACAGTAAGTTAAGGGTCCTCTGGTAGGTTAGGTGGGCAGGAAATTCTCATAAAGTTTCAAAACGGTATGAAAAACGTTAATGAAAAGTTTCCTCTCCTAACCTTACCGAGTAAGCCGGACGACTCAAATATAAAACGGGACAGTACGTCACTTTTGTGAGTCGATTTCATTTCAAATTACGTCCAAATTTGGCCATAGCGCGCATACGAGCGAAAAGTGACGTTATTTTTAAGAGAACGGGTTGGTCAATAGGCTGTTCTACCTGCAGGCGATGAGTCACAATAACGTGGCTGAAGTATGTTGACCAGACCACACACTAGAAATTGAAGGGACGACGACGTTTCGGTCCGTCCTGGACCATTCTCAAGTCGATTGTCTTGAAACGCTCTTCTACCTCTTCGCCCTTCGGAAACAGCCTATTGGCATAGCTCGGGTGCATGGTGGAATTGTGTAAAACCCTGGTTTGTGTCTCGGAGAGACTGCAGGACCCGTGGTAGGTCAGGATGATTTCCCGGTTGCAATTCTTTTAACCATGTCGTAGCTCAGTCGAATAAGACAGCGTCTGGGATCCTCTCGGACATAGGTTTGAACCCTCGTCACGGCCCTTGTGGATTTGTTCATTTGATGCATCACGCTATTGTGATTTCTGTGTGTTACCAAACCTAAC